TGGAAATAAACTGTGATTCAACAAGAAATCCTTCAGAATGGAATATGTGGAAATTACCTGCTGGGATGAAACAATGGCATCCCTTTCTTTTTTAATCGGGTGTGCTCCCTGTGCATGTGTGTCTGTCAGAGTGTTTCTTTGACGTACTGCTGTAGGCTTGTAGAAACACATCTTTGGGCAAACATTGAAATAAGATGCAGTACCTGGTTTTTCTGATGTCTTTGGGGAAAAACAAAAATCTTATTTGGTGCCATCGTTTAGTATGCAGCTATTCAGTAATCTCATGTCATAAATTTCAGCTTCATGAAAAGTCATGATCTGACCCAGAAGAGGCCTGGCCCACCCAGGACATTGATAGGCCTGGTTCATCAGCTTTACCCCCCCAAAATGTCCTTTAATGCCACCCCCTCCCCCCCCAAAAAAAAGCACTGATTAGTTTATACAGTGTGTTCTTGCTCATTTTCATTATAATCACCCGCCCCCAGTAAAGATTTAGCTCCCCCTGCTTCAGCAGTCTATAGTGACGCTTCTCTGCCCGCTGTAAGTTGGAAACGCCTCGTGATTGGGTTTTGCTTCAAATACGTTCAAGAAAACAGTATTAAAATGTATTTTTTAAAAATAAATTAATAATTAAAGAATCAGACATATTACACAAAAGAAACAGGACTTTTCGGCGCTCAATACAGGAAAATGAGTCTGACCATGAAACATGCAAATATTTTGGTTTGCAGAGAATAACAAGTGAACAGACGACATTATAGAGTAGCTAAAAGCTTCCACTCTATAGAAAATATTCGGGAATGATTTAAAAGATAGATCAAAGGCAGGTCAAGTTTGCCTTCCGCAATAGAGCTTATTGACGATTCAAACGCGGAGCGAAGAACGACAATACCAGCTTTCTACTGCGAATCTCCTGTCTTCCACCATCACTGCCAAAGTAAACACTTTAAAGTGTTTCTTTCATAAATACACGCGACCCGTAACTTCTCCTAATATATACTGAACTTTACTGTGCAAAAAGCGATTCATTTCTCAATCCAAAACTCTGTCTTTATGTGTGTGTGTGTAAAACAAACAGTATGTATATATAAAAGCACAAATTAAATAAGTCCTCATTATTTGTATCAGAATTAAATATATGATTAGGCTATTAGTGGCTTGCAAAATTATATTCGCTAAAAATACATAATTTATTCATTCTTATTTAAGTGATTTTTTAAAGTTGATAGGCCTATATAAATATATTTTAAGTTATTTTAAGTTATCCTGTAAAAAAATAGGATAGAGTAGAATAGATACGTGTCAGAAATAAAGAGCATTTGTATAAAAACACAAAAGAAAACTGAGTATATGTCTTGTAAGACCGTTTTGAGGAATTTCAGACGATCACATCTGCTGAAGGAGAGGAAAGCCTGCTTTCCCCATCAGCACGGGGAGCGGGGAGCGCACCTTCCGAATGAGCGCCGGTAATAATCACTCCTCCTCAAAATACGCCGCTATTTTCGCCGGTTGCTATAAACAATGTGCTTTTGGTATTAAATTTAAACTGTCTGACCATTGTAATTTACCATGCCTCAGTCACACTGGCTTTTTTTGGCTTCAGTCAGGTTGCGAACTTTAACACAAATACCACAAAAAAGTAGTTTAGTGAGACCGCAGAAATATATTTTATTTCACATAAATAACATTAGTTTAGAAAAAATGAAAGACCTAATTTCTTTGAGGATCATACCAAAAGTGCCACAAGATTTTTGTGAGATTAGTGTCCAGCAGTGAATTGGCAGTAATTTATCTCTGGCTGGGTAGCGGTCTTCATGCGTTTCCGAAATAACACAAAATGGTCTTTTTCTGGTTAACTTCATCAGAACTTTAGGAAATAAAGGGGGAGGTATTCTCTCTCTCTCTCTCTCTCTCTCTCACACACACACACACATAAATACCTCATTTGGATTGTCATTAGATGGTTTATGGATGTTTGCAGAGTCAAGACAAGCGTCCGACAGCGCGTCAGGAAAGGGGATGTTTGCGGACTGGGCCGCGGGGCAGCACCGGATCACTGCGGGCTGTGTTACCCAGGGGGGCGGGGGTTTGCCCCTGGGACCGGGGGCAGCAGCGTGTTAATCTACCCTCAGTGTGGCAACTGTTCTCCCTCCTATCTCATGTGGTCAGAGAGCAGCGCACTGAGGGCGCTGGGAGAAGCCTTCTACCTGGGGGCATACAGTATGGTGTATAACCCGTATTATATAAAGAAACGGGAAGCACCCACAAAGCGAAACAGTGCATGGGATTGTGAGGCGCTGGAGGTGATCACGAAGCGCAGAGCGGCGCGGGGGCGCACTAGCGCGCTAGCAGGTGGCCCCCTGCGTACCTGCGGCCACGTGACATGCACGCCGGCCGGCCGGCCGCTGCTTTTAATTAAGCTGAATAGAGTCACTCTGTTCCGACACGGCGGGAAGGGGGCTGAGGTGCAGCTGAGTTTTCGGCGAAGGTCAGCCCAGTTATGTAAATAAATATTAATCTTTAACCTAATCTTCTCGGTCACTGACGTCTTTTCAGAATCGCAGCACTCTGATTGGATCCCAGGGAAAAGTGCTCAGTATTTCACACTGCGGAACAGCAGACACTCACTGTCTCTCTCTCTCTCTCACACACACACACACACACACACACACATACATACATACGCACAGGTTTGTAATTATATCTTTGTGGGGACTCTCCATTCATCTCTGTGGGGAAAACTCTAATCCCAACTTGATGCCCTTGACCCGTACCCAGCCCTAAACTTACCCGCAAGTAACCAAACAAAATATGAGACTTTTGGCATTTTTAGTTTTTTGATTGCATTCACAGATCTACAAAATGGTCCCCACAACATCAAATAACAGGTTTTTATTACATTGTGGGGAACATTTGGTCCCCACAGTGTAATATAGACATAATCCATACACACACAGGTCACTTAAAGAATAAAGGTCAGCCTTGTGCAGGCTGTTTCAGACTAATGGTCACTATCTTGTTAAAGTCGAGCAGGGCTCTTTGCAACCGAATGCCGTTATCCTGATGACTAGCGGTTAGTCAAACAAAGAGTTAACTATCTAGTCTCTGTGGACTCAGCCTTACAGCTGGAATGACAACTATGTCAAATGTCATTCTGATAAAAGACATGTTGCTTTTTATCTTTTAAAGATAGGAGCCACTGTCAGTAAATGGAAAATTGTAAAGAACTGTCAGTAAATGGAAAATTGTACGTTTACACTGCCAACGCATTTACGTCACACTCAAAGCAATGCCATTTTAAAGCATTTTGCATAAGCAACAGCATCACACACCTAATGAGTGATCATTGCTAAAGCAGATTCACAATTCATGACGTAGTAAAATTCTCATAATTCTGGTAATTTTTGTTACAGAGTAACCTCAAAATGCATAGCGGATTAATTTTAATGAAAGATTCATTTCAAGTTGTGGAAGGAAAGCAGTTAAGCTTCATTAGGATAAGTATTAACAGAAGCCATCGTGTATTACATCACTTTCAGGAGTAGCTGAATTTCTGCTGCTCCAAACTGCTAAAAAGAATTGGATGATTCTGAGCTTAAATATAAACAGTTTATGAACTTTTACCTTATTATGCTGATATTTACAGAACCACAGTGACAGACTGAAATCACTCTGGACAAAAGCAGCTGAGATATATCTCCACACATAAAGGTCAGGGCAGGATGAAGCGGCCTGTGAGAGCTGGGGCCACGGGGAGGCGGCTGATGAAAGGCCAGTGACCACTGACGTGTCATGTGACCGTCTCCTGGCCGGCAGCTGCTGACGCAGTGCTGGTTTGCTACGCTGTTTGTCTGTGCTGTTGAAGCCAAAACTGCATTTGCAGATGGGGTTGGGATCACTGATGCAGGACTGTCCCACCAATAAAGGAAAAAAAAAAAGTCAGTCATTTAAGAGGCATCGTTTTCCGGTAAAGAGCTTTGTTGTGGGTTTTATATTAAATGATAAATCTTTATTTTTGGCGGGTACAGCTGTAAGAAGAGCTTTTCGAGGAGAGGGATCCTGTATTTGTCACTAACCGCTGTGCTCTGCTGTTCCTGCTGTGTCTCCCCTGTGACTGTGTCTGCATCACACAAGTACAGGGCAGTGCGTTATTACGCAGCATCAAAGGATGCCAAATTGATGGGCTGCGTATATGGGGGGAAGGGGGGCAGGGTGGAAATGCCTTTGATCAGGATATTAAACATGCTCATTATGTTCCACTCATCCGGCAGATGTAACCCTGCCTCTGCTTTTTATGGTTTGTCCTGGAAGTGCAGTGACACCGTAGCATTCAGGGGAGGCTTTGCAGTTTGTTTTCAGTGCAGACCTAATGCCCAGAGAAGTGGTACGTTCCAGGGGTGTGTGTGTAGGGGGGGGGGGGCTTGTGAGACGCGTGGACCATGATGGACAAGAGATATTTACCAGAAATATACCTGTGGAAAGTTTGAGAAAATCCCCCAAATAGTTTGAGACAGAAATAAAAAGAGGACAAATGGAGGCCGGGTTGGCAGTTGAGGAAATGAGGTGTGGAGAGGAGCAGCAGGCAGGACGGAGATTTCAGTCAGAATAAGTGATACGTCTGGGTTGGTGGCTCTGCTGGGACGTCGCCGGGCCGTGTGGCCTGGACCCGCCGCTGCCGCAGAGCGCCTTCACAGCTGCAGACAGATGTGCGGCTCCCGTGTGTTACAGCGCCCTTGTCAAATATGTATAAATCACGGGCCTGCTGTGGCCCAGCAGTGCGTCAAACTGGAGTAGGAGTTCAAACACTAACAGAGAGAGACGCAGCTGCAGGGGGGGGGGCAGTCATTATAATGCAGAAACACATCAGGGATGAAACAACAGCGCAGACAAACCATGAGCTTTACTCCTCCCCAAATCCAGTAACAGACACCACAGCCTGTGCGGATGGGGAGAGAACTCCGGAAGCATGATGTTTAGTGACAAAGAAAACACTCACACAGTGCGTCTTTATTTCTCAAAATATATTACTCGAGTTACCAATGTTTTATGAGACTCTACAGAGAAACTAACCATACATTAACAAAAATACAAGTTCTACTGCCTTAATGACAAAGTATGGTTAAAATATTTTAATAGGACGTGAAATATCAAAATCTATATAAATACTGGCACTAACAGAGATCTCTTCTACTTTCAAACTGTATGTTGGATGGTACAAATAAAACTTTTATATTTTTTATATTCAACAGCATGACTGTGGGATGTACCTTTCAGATTTAATTGTCTTACATAACACACATAATCAGCTAATGATACTACAGAAATAACCACCTTGTATAATGCAAAACTCTGAGACCTGATAGCTAACATGTAAATATCATCAGCCTCATATCTGTAAAGGAGCAGAAGAATGATGTAATACAGGGGTGGGGCCCACTTGAGATGCAAACGTCTTTTTCACAGAAGTGGTCCTTAAAATCGGGATAAATTCAGCTGGCACCTTTGTAACCCCAGAAATCTCCAGAAACATCCTTCTTCAGTTGGGTCCCATCCTTCAAGTAAATGAACTCACTTTGCTGGATGAAGGCACAGAAATCCAGAGGTGGAGATGGTCCAGAGAGTACAAATCCTGACCAAAATTTTGTTTCAACCATCCAGCTGAGTACTCTGTCAATGTGACTCTTTATACTCAACTGGTTGGTTGAAACAAAATCTTGGTCTGGATTTGTATTCCTTGGACCTGAAATCTCCAGCTCTGCAAGAATCACTCATTTCCAATGAAGTCATAGCAGCTCCTTGAACAACATCCAAAACATAAATTACATAGTATTACCACGGTAACGGTGACTATATCCTCCAGTATGAAATTCTGACCACATGGCATAAAACGTAGCAGCAAACACAAGCTTTGCTTGAGTGGTTTATGAAACAGATAAATGCCCTTAACGATTAAAATAATTAGCAAAAGAACAACAAAAAGGTAAATGACCGACAGGCCCACTGAAGGGTTTGACAACAGAAAAAATCAAATTGAGACTTTAGAAAGGTCCTTTCCAGTCTTATCCTGCTGGTAAGAACAGCCAAACAAGCCAAACTCGAATAAGTAATTAGCAGGTCTTAGGCAGAGGGGAGATCTGCAGCCTGGAATGCACTGGATGTTAATGCTCTGCACAAAGAAGGATCAGCTGCGGTTATGTTAGTGAGGTACGGAGCCCCTAAAGGGACAAGATCAGAAAAAAATATTTTGAAACACTTTTGCTTTCCCTCGGAAAATTATTGCGTTCCCCCACAACAGTTCTGCGTTCTCTCGAAATTATTTTGCGTTCCCTCACAATTGTAATTGTGTTCCCTGGCAACAGTAACTGACATCCCGCTTTGCATTGCCACAGTGTTGCATGAAGCTGTATGATAAATACATAAAAGCATTAATACAATATCTGTGCAACAGTGTAGCAGAGAATTTGGTACTGGGGGGACACAACTGAAAATTATTAAATATTAAGCTTCATTTATTTGGGGGGATGAATTAATCCAGATTAAATATTGGAGGGTACTTGACCCCTAACCCCCTGTTTCCTGTGCCCCCTGTGCGGCTGTGTACAGGAGCAAGCAACAGCAAAAAAGTCACAGTTCCTGTTTTTAAAAACATCATATAAAATAGGAGCAGCACAATGTTGAAGGGGACTAACTATGAAAGTGGAGGTGATTCGATAGCTCTGCCAATGCAAAACTTCACAATGAAACCGGGGCATGGAGCACCACGAGAAAGATTCAGTGTGAAAGCTGTGGAGAAAAAAGGAGGGCTTTCATGTAGCTCAGATTGCTTAGATAGATAGACAGACAGACAGAGACAGACAGGCAGACAGACAGGCAGACAGACAGGCAGACAGACAGACAGGCAGACAGAGACAGACAGACTAGATAGATAGATAGATAGATAGATAGATAGATAGATAGATAGATAGATAGATAGATAGATAGATAGATGGGAATCCATTAGATTTTTGCAATGGGACTCGAGAAAACATCAGACTGTTAATAACATTTTCCAACCCTGTCCCTTTAGGAGCTCCGTAGGAAGGCAAAGACCAAGCCCTTATTTTTAGGTTAAACCCAAAGAACACACAGACCAAGCAACACCTGACAGGGACAGCATGCAGGTTTTAAAAATGTACAGTTAAGGTGCCCTGAAAATGGCTGACAGTCTGCTGCATCGCTGCCCTTGGCCTTGCTGTGCACGTATTTCCAGGCTACGGGTCATTCGGCTGGCTTTTGGCCCTTTGGACCCAATTCCCCACCAGGGAGGCAGACTTCAGCCGCTCAAGCGTGTGTGGATGCCAGAGGTCATTTTCACCTTCATTGCGGCAGTGCCAGGTCACCCCTTGAAAAACCCTGCATGTTTTGCTTGAGCCCCAGGCCTTCCCGTGAAAGCCCCTGCATGTTTTGCGTGAGCCCCAGGCCTTCCCGTGAAAGTTCCTGCATGTTTTGCGTGAGCCCCAGGCCTTCCCGTGAAAGTTCCTGCATGTTTTGCATAAGCCCCAGGCCTTCCTGTGAAAGTTCCTGTATGTTTTGCGTAAGCCCCAGGCTTTCCTGTGAAAGTTTCTGCATGTTTTGCGTAAGCCCCAGGCCTTCCTGTGAAAGCCACTGCACGTCCTGCGTGAGCCCTGGGCCTTCCTGTGAAAGTTCCTGCATGTTTTTCGAAAGCCCCAGGCCTTCCTGTGAAAGCCCCAGCACATTTCACATGAGCCTTGAGACCCTGCCAAATTCTGCAGCCATCCTAATATCAAACCACAGCCAGCTGCCAGCTCTGTCCTGAACCCCAGTTCTTGTAAGGCTCATGGGAAACCCTTTTAATGAATAAGCCACTGGTTACCAAACCTCTGTAGGTATCTGCTAATAGGTGCAAAGGACAGATTGCGATAAATATCTTTATCATCCAGCTATTCTCTCCTTAGAACTAAGATCCGCTTAACAAATGATCACTTAGCCAGCTTTACATTTGGATATTAGCTGCTCAAATAAGGCAATAACTGCAAAATTATGTTGTAAATATCTATCTCACCCAGTGCCTGTGCTAACTGAGAAAGCTAAGCATTGCTAGCTCACAAAGTCATGTGTGTACAGCTTTTAGCACTATTTAATACATATGAAGTCTATATTAATATTCCGGTTGCTAAATCACTAAATGAAGCTAACCAGAAGCACACCTTTCCCAGCAGTACCAGGTGTCCCTCCAGGTCACATGACCCAGTGCTCTGTTATTGGCTGTTCTGAGCCTATGGGATTCACATGTGTAATATCCCTTTGTTGTGTTTTTCGGCACCATCATTACAGTAAAAGTTAATATTTGGTAGCATAAACATTTCCTGTATTGTACAATATCAGCTTCCGAGATCTGCAAGGGCAGATTTAATTAATCTTTATTAATTAATAATGTGAATAATTAATTTAAGGTCTGTTTCTCTTTTTCATGATTCTCTTGGGATCCATGACTGCAGTCTGAAGTCTGAATGCACGTCCAGTAAAATCCTGCACTCACATTCTGGGAAATGAGGCCGGGGGGTTCGGAATGAATCAAGCAACATTGTAAAGAAGAGCTCTGAGTTTATGGTCCTGAAGGGGTGAAAGGTGACCCCCGTGTGTACAGAGCGAGGCACCGTGACCTCACACACAAATTCCATAGCTGGCTTCCGCAAGCCCACAAGACGGCTCATACCACAAAGGTGGGGGGGGGGGGCTTGAGGGCTCAACGCTGGCTTTCAAACGGGAGGGGGGTGTTATCACAGAAACAGGGACAATAAATAAGCTCAAGGAACTAATATATACATAACACTGTGCATGACATCTCAGATTAAGCATGCAGACGCTGAAATGTTTTCCAATGACAAACAGACGTGAGGGAGCCGGTCAGTGACACCCACATGACCTGACCACCATGTTCCTGTACTTTTTCAGGATCACATTCGAACTGTCATCGAAGTAAAGCACCGATATGGCGTTCAGCTTGGTGGGGGCGCAGCATGGCTTGGGAACATTGTCAGGAAACATCAGATGGACCTAAAGAAGAAGCACCTGGGTGTTAGTCTCCATGCACACCCCCCTCTGCGTTTCACAGCTAGGGGGAATATTACGGATGCTCTATTTGTTATCTTTAAATGTTTTTAAGGATAAGCTGCAGAAATGCAGATGGCACGTACCAGCGTCTGCACGATGGCATGATTGGTGGCGTTCATGTGTGCGTTGAGTGGGAACGAGCATTCTCCGTCGCAGTAAAAGGCAGCATAACCCTCAGGTGCGATAATCCAGTCCTTCGGGAGAAAACACAGGTGACATCTTTTCAATTGCTGTCCCTCAAACCTGTGACTTTGCCATGCACCAGAGCCCTACCAAGGCTCCCACATGCTTTAATGGTTCTGCAGTAACAGTAGTGTGCAGCATTACAGGAGCACATACCGGAATCCAGTGTGCAGTATTACAGGAGCAGGTACCGGAATCCAGTGTGCAGTATTACAGGAGCAGGTACCGGAATCCAGTGTGCAGTATTANTACCGGAATCCAGTGTGCAGTATTACAGGAGCAGGTACCGGAATCCAGTGTGCAGTATTACAGGAGCAGGTACCGGAATCCAGTGTGCAGTATTACAGGAGCAGGTACCGGAATCCCATGGCATTCTATAATCCGTGCTCTGCCTCACCTGCCATCCCAGATCGCGGAAGCTGACATAGAGTTCATGTTTCTTGCAGGCTTGCTTCTGTTCACTGGTGTTTTGGTCTGTAAAAGAATAAAAAAAATACATCAGATTTACCAGTCCTGTTTCTGCCAAACCGACACTTAATATGTACCTCAGAAGTAAAGAAGAATCAGGGGTTAATTGGGAGATTAGGAACATGAGGTGAGATGGTATGAAAGTTGCGTATAAAAGTATTCCAGATTTAAAGGGGAGGCTCCCTTGTTTTTCTGTATAAACTCCACCCTTTAAGGATAGAGCATTTTACCCAAAAGTTTGTCGGTCATTAATAAAACATGCCTCTGTTCTCTTCACCGTTGGTCCCGCCTCGTCAGCACAAACTGAGCTCTGTAGGTATTACAGGGCCACCCTCTGATCTAACAAGGGCAAATGTGGTGGATCACGGCATTAGAGCGGTAATGGGGGAGGACAATCGGAAACGTGCGCCGGAGAATGTCTGCACGAAATCACCGCAGCCGGCAATCACAGTGACGTCTCTGTGGTGTGAAGGGCGGCCGTGAAAGAAAGTCCCCGTGAAAATGAGATGGCTGGGCCTCACATATCTGGCAGGGGAGTCAATGTGTCACTCATACAGAGAAACGACTGAATCCCCAGGTCAGAACTAGTCTGGTACTAATTACACAAAGACCCGAGCAAGATGAAATGTGAATTACACACTAAGCCATGAAGAAGGCTGAAGTCCAAGGCTGTCATGTGCAGTACAAGGCATGTATATAAATACTGCCTGTTCGTTTTTTAACGAGATGGCCTCTGTCAAAACATTGTGTATTACACACGGCGTGTGTGACCGCCAAGGGATCTACGCTGGCGAGGAAGCCGAGCCCAGCAGAGGTGTGACCAGAGGCAGGCCATCTTGTCGTGAAGTGATTCTTCAAGTTGCGCAAGTTTAATAACAACCACGGTACACGTGCCTGCAGAGGAAGTGTCCCAGAGGACAAACTTGACGGCAGTGCGCAACGGAATAGGAATTGGTCCAATTCCTAGTCCGGTTTGCCTGCAAGAAACATGCTGATGTTTGCAAAGGCATGTCTGGACAGAGGGACACTCTCAGATGGCCTACGGCACAAGCTCAGAGACGTTTGACAAGAGATACTCATAGCCTATGGCACATGCTCAGAGACGTTTGATGAGAGATACTCATAACCTACAGCACAAGCTCAGAGACGTTTGACAAGAGATACTCATAGCCTATGGCACATGCTCAGAGACGTTTGATGAGAGATACTCATAACCTACAGCACAAGCTCAGAGACGTTTGATGAGAGATACTCAAGGCCTATGGCACATGCTCAGAGACGTTTGATGAGAGATACTCATAACCTACAGCACAAG